CCCCAAAACCCCAAAACCCCAAGAGGCTCTCATTATGTAATCTAAGTTTAAAATTAATTAGTAAAAAAAGAAATATATTAAGTATTAAGGTTTTCTTGCTATCTAAAGAGCATTTAAATGAAATACATGATTGATTGTATTTAGCCTGCTTGAACTCAGTTCGATTTGGACTACTTATTTTAATTACCGTAATTGTGATTGTTTATATTATTATTGCTTGTAGAGGACTTAAATGTTTGGCTCTTAATAACTGTTCTTCTATTCTGCTTTTGCTTGCTTCCTTATTAATGCTTTTTAATTCTTTCAGCAGTTTTGTCTTTCTTTTGTTTGATTTGCTTGTCTGGGATTATCTGGAGTATTTAGTTCTGTTGCTAAAGCTACTAAAGGTTAAGCTCCTCAAAAATCGAAAAAGCTTGATTTTAGAATTAGTAATTGTTAGTTGGAATTGTAGAGTCTGACTTTACTTTATGATTTTGAGAATTCATTTAAAGACTCAAATGTTCAGTCATAATTGCTTGCTTAGAAATGTTATTTATCTAAGGTAGATGACTTGTCTTTTGGTTTTCACTCACTCTTCAAGTATTCCCTAAGTTACTATTATCATTCGAGTCATTCTAATCTATTGAACTTTTATTAATTTATCTCATTATTTGAAATTCCTTAAGCTCATTTTCATGCTTTATTAAGTTTCCATTAATGTTTCCAGAGAATTCGTTACTTTTCAATCTCTATCTAATTTCTTTTGAATTGTCCTGCTGCTATTGCTATTGCTCATTTTCAGTTCTCATCTTTTGATCAGTGTAATTTCTATCTCCTAACGGGTACTTTTAAAGTTTTCCCAGTCTATCATGAGGCATTCGACCATTAAATGACTTCAGTTGCATTCTTTATTTATCAGGCCCAATCTGTGCGTCTGGTACTTTTTAGCTAATTAAGAAACCTCCACTCCCAACTCCTTAATATTCTTATTTAACATTATTAACCATTTAGCTGCCAGATATTTGGTCATCGAATAGAGTTGATTACATTTGGTATAGAGTCATTTTGTTAATCTACTTTTGATTGTTAAAAATAGATTAAGTCTACTCCTTAGGTGTAATAATACTAGTGACTCTGATAAATGGCTAGTTCTTTTCAGCAGAGACTAATGTCTTATCATCTTCATCTTATTCCAAATTTAATAGGGAATCCTGTTTTTAGCTTTTCAATGAAGCTAATCTTGTTTTGTTAGATTTGAATATTTGACTCATTACTGGCACAACTTATTTTTAAAGTTACTGCTAATTTTCTTAATCCTTCTTTTCTTTCCCAGGAGCCTAAAATTTCACCTCTCTCATAGCTGGCTAAGGATTTGAATTTGTTGTTGAAATATTAGGCTTGACTATCTTTTTATTATTTTAATTTACATATGCCTGCATGATTTTCCTATTGGTGTTTTTGAATTTATTCTAGTTTAAGCATGCATTTCCATTCTCATATTTTGAAAGATTTTATTCTATTTCATGCCTGACATTGGAGATATTTTTAAAAGCGGACAAAGGCAACCTAGTAATTGGATTGTCTTCTATTAAATCCAATATTGCGGAATTCAATGCTCTGCCAACATCTTCAAATATCTCAATAGTAAAAACTGGAGGCTAAGATCCTTAATAAATTTTTGATGTTTAATCTTAAACTGGTAATTCAGCTTCAATATTGCCGTTAGATTTAATAAGCTTAGGCGAAAGAAAGTTAATCCTTCTTCCATTATGATAATTGCACTCAAGAGTATAACAATGAATTAACCCAGTTTCCTTGTGAATAGCCACTCTTCCACTGCCTTCTCTACTCATGCCATTCTTGTCTTTTACACTCATAATCTTTTCACTGAAGTTACACTCGTTAATATCAAAATTCAAGCTATTCATCGATACTAATTTTGGAAGCAAAATGTTTTCAGTTTGCTAAGTTGGATCAGTCAAGTTGTTACCAAACATAAAGCAACCTTTTTTGGAAGCATGAGCATGAAAATCAATGTAAATAAATAGTTTCTTCATCATATTATGATAGTAAAGTATCGCTTTTTTAGTAGCCCATATTGTTGGTTGATCAAACTTTAACAGGATAAACTAGATGATATTCTTACTCTGTTTGGATTAATATAGTATCTATTTAAGTTATAAGCCATAGTATCTAATCTATAATAACCTCTAGCTACCCCATCAGGATTCAATATAGGGATCACTTTAAAGACAAAATTTTTTCTGAGAATTTTGGCTTGATCATTTTTGGGGCTATTTTAAATCATTAAAATCAAAAAGGTTACTCAATAAGCATATCAAGCGACCCATTAAGTACATGAGAACCTGGTGTCTCCCCCGGATGCACTCTTGAGGTAAAGAATATATATCTTTTGCCTTCAAATTTAAATGGACGGTCATTTTAAGAATCCGGGTACAATCCATTCCCATCTTCAGGCTAAAGCGAGTTAGTATAATATAATTACTTGACTTTCTCTTTCATTGATCATACCCTCCTTTGAAGAAATTGTAAATATTTCCATTTTCCTGCCTTCCTAGGAATAGAATAAAACCTCTCGGTGAAAATACATATTTGGGCAATCTCTCTTAATTTTCTATTCAATTTGATCTATCTTTTCTGTGCTTTCCTGAAATGAGAATGGATAAGTAAATGCGAAATAAGAGGTCTCGGTTGAAGGATAATTAAAAAGATGTTAGAAGCTGAGAGTAAATATTTACTACTATTACTCTGACTAACTATTTTAAAGTGTATATATCACTTTTTGCGGTATTCTTTTCCATTACTAGCAAAAGCTTGGTATTACTCTAAAGACAGGCTTTAATCCTTGAGAATATAGTTTAGTCTTTTAAAAAATAAATCAAATTTAATAATCTTACTTAATTGTTTAGATTCTTAAAAGTGAAGGTTAAGTTCTCTCCTTATGGAACTCCCTAGACAGAGAAGTAGAACCAGGTTCGGTAGTAGTCTCCTTCAATAAATGGGGCTGCATCTGATGATACCCACAGGTCGTACTATTAAAGTTACACATTTAACTCATTGCTTACATTATTCTAACCGTTACCCTTGCATACTTGGGATAAATTTCCTGAACAGAATCTACTAGAAAAGGTGATCCCATCTATAATAGTTTGAATCTACTACGGATTATTCTTGATTTGCTCATCGTTCTGTTCAATCTTTTGAAACTCGTGAATTTTAGAATCAGTATTAATTTACTGCATTTAAATTTAACTAGATGTTGCGTTGAAGGAGTCTTTTATAGGAGGCTGGCTGAAGTATTAATATTCATGCTACTGTGCTATTTGGTTTCTTTAATTCTGAGAGTTAAACATATAGCTTGGATCTTCAGCTTCACCCTCTCCATTTTCATCATCATCCTCAGACCCTCCATTGCCATTTAATTATTCTTCATAGTTATAGTTATAGTGGTCAGAACTATTTGAGTAGACCTATAATTTAATTTCTTCTCTGTTTATAATTGCACTATGCTACTAGTGTACTATCTTCTGCTAATATGAATTGTATTGGATGTTTTTGCTTTTGTTGTTCGAGTTAGTATTACTAATGTGCTCATTGAATGAGTATTGAGTTTTAGGTGTATTATTAGTATGTTATAATTTATAAGCTTGATTAATTTCTTTCTCTTTTACCATTTCTAGATTAAAATAAATTTAATTCTTTAATCATTTCTTCATCATATTAAAAAACCAATAAATTCCATTTGATTTTATTCTCAAGGGGTTTTGGGGTTTTGGGGTTTTGGGG